TCCTCCCTACACTTTACAATTACTTCTGTGCACTTCCTTCAAATTTCTCATAACACGAAAAATTAAAGAACAATAGAACTGTAATTACTGTAATTAATCACTAAGGAATGCCCACAGATTGAATAGGAGCAGAAGGATGGTAGCTTCTTCCTTGGGGTCAAGCCTTCTTATAAAAATTATGAAATCGCTGAGATCTTAATAAAATATTGTAACACATTTGGGAGTTATTAGTTTAGTCTTATTGTTTCAAGGCTAATAATTTACAAATATAGATTCTGAGCTGTGTAAAACCCAATAAATAAATATATTGAACCATTTGCAACTTTACATTTTATTTCGATAGTTCTGTGGTTAAAGTGAACTTAATAATCAAGTGATTACTGTATAGTAACAGTAAAATACTTGGCATGAACTGAGAACTTACTATTATTATACACCAGATAGTCTTTTAAGTACTTTGCGTGCATTATCTCATTTATTCTTCACAACAACCCTTTGAGTGTGTGACAATATGTACACACGTGTAGGTGTACAAGCATGTGTGTGTGTGTGTGTGTGTGTGTGTGTGTGTGTGTGTGTTTAAGTGTGGACTACTCATTTACTGGTCAATTTGTGCTTACCATCTGCATATATTTTTACCTATTAGCTGTAACATGTTCAGCCTCAGAATAGTTCTTTGCTAGGACACAGATTCTAACTAGGGAGGAAAAAAGAAAAATGCTGAGTAAAGGGAGAAAAGGGGATTTAAATATGGTTTTCAGGAAGATTATTGCCTCATAAGATATAAATATTCACCTTAAAGTTTCAAAAAATTATTAATTTTATCTTAGTCTTGTAAATGCATACTCCTTTTACTAGCTGGGTTTGTGAGTTGACAGTTTTCCTACACATATAGTCAAACTTGTCCTTCCATTTGACCTGAAAAAGATTCTTCTCTCTGTTGTAAAGTAATTTTAGCTATAACTATACTATAAAAGATAATAGACAATCCACTTTCAAAACACTTAAGAGATATTTTGAGAATTTTTCTCTAGCACAAGAGCCTATATTACCATGATTGTTTATTTTGTTCTCATGTCTATTTCATATGCGTCCTCTCAGTGACTAAATTTTATTGTTTTTATCTACTCAGAATAATGCACACCCTAAAGGGGAAACCTCCAAAATGTGATCAGTGAAAGAATGACTTCATCTGTGACTTGAAAAAGTTAATAGTTTCCTTTCAGGTCAAATGCACAAATTGATTCTCAACCAGGAAAGAGCCCACTTATAGGTATTCAGGTCACAAACTTATTTCCTTAAATATTATTGCCAAAACACATTTTATATTCTATTTTATTACTGTGCATCCATCTTTCCTTAGCATTAGAGGTGTTTCATTAGAAAGCAGTATAACTTCAATTTGTTTTTATGCTCACCTTGACAAAAGTAAAAATGAATCACTGAATAAGTTTAAATGTATTTTGTGTATTTCTTTTGCATGCCCAACATAGCATCAACCAATATTATCATGACCTGAAAAGTTGATACGTAAGGTAGATATTTGGCAAGAACATTAGAGGAAGCACAAAATTGGAAACTGTAAATAAAATTATTTGGCTACAGTTGCTAATAATCAGGTTTTCTTTTCCTTTACTTTAAATCATCCTTTAATTTGAGGACAAGCAAGGAGGTTTTCCCTGAAATCCATCAGTGGCCCTGTTCTCACTCTGAACACATAATTTCTGGACCTTATCATCCATATCTATAACTTCAACCACCACCAATATGGTGATGATTCCCTAATCCAGATTTGAGTAACAAGTTTGTATTTCCAGCTATGTCTAGATTCACTCTGATATATTATATAAGCTCCCCAAAGGCTTGATGCTTCTCCAAACCTACTTGTCTTCTAGAAGGCCATATTTCATCTATCATTAATCAAGTTACCCTATTCCAGGGAGCATGTTCTATCCATTACCCACTTCCTCAGCTCCTCATACATATTCTATTAATTCTTCTGCCATGTCTTAAGCTTTCCTCCTTCTCTTGTCCTCTCTCTTAAAGGCCCAATTGTTCTCTCCCAGATTTCCTTAGTAATCACCTCTTGGTATCTTGCCTCTGGTTTACTGCCTTTATATTGCTCCAGACTGAGTCTTAGGAGTTACAGATTACAGTACGTCTTACCTTACTTAAAACCCTTATGTATTTCCTCTTTTTCTTCAGGATATGGCTTAAATTCCAAAGCATGGCATCAAGGCCAATCCTGAATTTACTTCTGCCTGTTTTCTAGTCTCATCTCCCACATCTACATCTGTGTCTTTCACTTCAGTCATGCCAATTTACGCGCAGTTCTCCAAATGTGGCAAACAATTGCATGCCATTGCAAATGCTGTTCTTCCTGTCTGCAATGCCCCACCTCAACAACTCTGAATTATTCTTCAAGAAATATGCCAAGCATCCTAGAAGTCTTCTCTTACCATATCCTGAAGGAGGTATTTCTTCTCTGTATTGCCATTATCTCCCAGGCTATTGGAACAATTATGGGATTGCAATCCCAATATTGATTTTCTTTTTTTAATAAATGGTTTTCTCATTTGACATTCCTTAACTGATAAACTTCTTAAGGACCATATCTTGTTTTTCTAAATATACGCAAGTATAGCTTTAACATGTGTTAGTTTCTCAATCAATGTATGTTTAATTAATGAAATCCTTAAACATTCTCTTTCTTGTCTTTTGGATATTTCTTTAATTTATGCCTCTTAACCATTTTCATCTTCATGGAGAAAACACTGTGTATGTTATTCCAAAAATTATTAGATGTTTTCCACTGGGATCTCTAAGGCTTGAAGATCTTTGATTAGATAACCACTTTCAAAAAGAAGAGAATAAATGATCATATCAAACAGTATTAATTAATAAAAGAAACAAAAATATACCTTTGGTTGGCTGGCAAGAAAAGGGCAATAAAGATGCTATATTTAAATTGTACTTTTATGTCCCTAGAAATTAAATTCGTATCAGTTTAATAAACACCATACATTTAATATGCTGATTTATTATCAAAGCAAATTGCAGCAGAAAATGGCAATACTTGAAACTAAAACTTTATTGAGAACTTATTCTATTAGTTGCTAGTTCTGTAACCTAAGGAAAGAGGATTTTCTAAGTCTTAGGTTCCTTGACAATGTCATGCAACTAAAACTAAGTAAGTGAGATAATGTATGCAAAGGACTTAGTGCAATACCTTGTATGAAGGGCAATCAATAATATCACCTACCTTAGAAGGTTACTTTGATGGGGTTATTAGATAAACAATTTCACAGAGCTTTGCAAACTGCAAATGAGATATTATGACTTTAATGAATAAAACTGCAATTCATTGTTTGACTTGCCAAAAATAAAACACCGCCTTTAAATACAGCAGTTTCTGAGATTTCCTATTTCTTGGCAGTTGGCCATCAGCCCACAGCCATGCCTTTAGTAAAGACCTTTTATTACTGTGGGATCAGTTAAGGATTGACAAATACGCAAGTTTCCTCAGGAGTAAATGCCTCTTGTCTTTTACCCCAGTTAGGGAGAATGGCAGTAAATGCAGAAGGAAAGTCTCTCTTGTGTACCTAACTATGGAAGTGGCCTGAAAAAGCTAAAACTGCTGTTTGGCTATGCATGAGACGAGCTCAGAGCTGGCAGTTGTTTCATTTGCCCCGTGTTACTTCTACTGAGCGTCATCACCTCTCTGCCAGCCTGGCCGCTGCACACTCCACCCTGTGTCGAATTCACTGTTTTGTCTATTTCCACACCCCTCTCCCCCCCACCCCGACCCCGGTCAGGACTAAGGACAGAATCACAAAAAGAAGAAACGGAATCACAAAAAGAAACTCCTACGCGGTTCTGGCACTGGGCTGAAACGTGCTCAGGAAAGGTAGGGTTCCGGTGCGGCTGTGAGACGCCCATCAGAGGCCAGAGCCAACAGAGACCGAGTAGTGCGTGCCTCGGTCCACCGCGGGCTCGGCAAAAGGCTAACAGTGCTAGATACCCGGCGGGCGCTCAAATATTTGCTGAATAAATGTCTACACTACACAACCTGTTTTGAGTCAATCACATCCCAACCCAGAAAATAACCGAGCTATCTTTGAACTGAATCAAAGTGTCATTTTGCAAATATAAAATCTATCTTGTTCTTGCATCTGCAGGAATAAAACAGTTTAAAAAGTAAGCCTCGTGTTTTTTTTTCCATTACGTGCCAACTTTTATAATTTGGACTTCAGCATGAACGTCAAGCAGCAGCAGAGCAGGGCGAGAGACTTTTCAAAGTCTCCTCCCAATGATATTTCGAGATGACCGGCTCCAGTGCCACTTTCCGCGCTCGAGTTCAAACCCTGGACATCAGGTTCGCGTCTGAGAGAAGTCCCAGCTGCTCCCCCTCACCTCTTGCTGGGGACAACCCTCCCCGTCCCCCTACCCTACTCTCACCTCCCCAGGAAGCCATCGGGGTGGAAAAGATGATGGGTGGTAGGGTCAGGGCAGTCCGAGCAGCCCCAGGTGGGCGCTCTCATGCCCATCCCGCTCAGGTGCTCCCCTGCTTTTGCAAACCGTGCGCTCCAGCGCCCTGGCACCTGGACACTCGGTCCGGCCAGCGGCGGCAGCGCGCGCACGCGCACTCCGCGTCCCCGCGCCGCGCCTCAACATTCCATTCCACGTGTTGCTAGTTGTAGGCGCCACAGGTTCCCCACCTGCGCCCGGGCGCTCGCTCTGGCCACTCCACCCCTGTGCGCGGACTGAGGGGAACCACAGGGCCGGCGCGCCTGGGACTGGCGGAGCAATTCCCGAGGCGCTCAGGCTCACCCCCCACGCTAACTCCGCCTATTCAATCCCGGTGGCTCCCCCTCTTCCCCCTCCCAGTCTTCCTCCCGACTCCTGCCCGCCCCTTTCGCCCTGGTGGTAGGAAATACTCCTGGATCTAACTCGACGTGTCCGGAAAGCCCTGGCCAGTTTCCCTTTCGCTCTGCGGCCGCTGCTAGCAGCCCCGCGGCTCCCTCGGACCCGCGGGTGCAGCCACCGGGGGTGAGGCGCCTGGGGACCGCGAGCCGAGCGGCGGGGCCCCCCGAGCACCATGCTGGACCCGTCCTCCAGCGAAGAGGAGTCGGACGAGGGGCTGGAAGAGGAGAGCCGCGATGTGCTGGTGGCGGCCGGCGGCTCGCAGCGAGCTCCGCCGGCCCCGGCTCGAGAAGGGCGGCGGGACGCGCTGGGGCGCACAGGCGGCAGCGGCGCGGCCAGACCCGTGAGCCCGAGCCCCTCGGTGCTCAGCGAGGGGCGAGACGAGCCCGAACGGCAGCTGGACGACGAGCAGGAGCGGAGGATCCGCTTGCAGCTCTATGTCTTCGTCGTGAGGTGCATCGCGTACCCCTTCAACGCCAAGCAGCCCACCGACATGGCCCGGAGGCAGCAGAAGGTGAGTCGCGGGACCGGGAGCCTTCTGACGCCACTTCTCCCTGAGGTTTTCTCAGGAGAGACCTCTGGGGTGCCTGCCTGCCGTCCTTCTGCGAAATGATCTTAGAGGACAAGACGGTGCTTTCGCCCGCCGGGTACGGGGCTGCTGCGGACACTTCTCCTCCCCCCCTCAGCCCGGGTGGCAGGAGCTGTCAGCTCCCCATCCGTGAGACCCAGACCGACCAACAGCGCCCGCCTTGCTGTGCTTGCACCCGGCAGGAGCAGCTCTGGCCGGATTAGAATGCAACTCCCATCAAGTTTAATTTCTAACAGCAGTGATGCATTCCTGCCCCGTAGCCCGGTGTGGTATTGCTAGAGCTGCGTTTTGCCGTGGGTCGGAATGAGAGTGTAGCTAGGTGAAACAGGTGAAGTCTGAGCACTTTCCTTCTGTTAGCTAGAAAGAAATCTTCACTAGGGAGACGCGTAGAAATTCTCCTCAGTGAATAAAAACCAAAGTTTCCTATACTGCCATACAGCCAGGACATCAAATGCACAAACACTGAGGAAGGTATGCAGCTTTGTAGAATAGTAAGTTATTCTCGGTCTGGGCAGGACTAATGGAACGTACTGTTGATGAAAAACAAGGGATTGATGCAGAATCACTTCATAACAAAATGCTTTCAAAATACTTTGTTTTGTTTCTTGCTTTCTCCCCAAAGAGGAAAGGAGTTTGTTTCAGGTGAAATGTCTTCCAACTTTAGTTTTAAAACAAGACTCAAGGAGTCTGATGTTCTGTAGCAGACAAAGGTAATGACTCAAATTGCCTAAGTGAGTAAATGTTTACAATAGAAACTGTCTAGGAAATTTTGTTAATATTATAATTTGCTGAACCTGGAAGTTTCTGTAGAAATCTGTAACAGTTGCCTCAGTTTGTGACAAGACATGGAGATCCAGAGAGAATGTAGTTTGCTCAAGGTATACCTAGGTGCACAGATATTTATTAGTTTTCTGAGATATTAACTTCAGCATGAGAGGCATTTTTAGAAATTTGGAGAGGTTTTGAATTGACTTGAAATATAACCGTAGTTCAGAGTAGCTTCAGTCTCCCTAACCCCTCTCAACACCCTCCTACATCCATTTAACCTTTATTTTTTGAGATATAATTGATACGTAAAAAGCTGTACGTATTTAATGTGTACAACTCAGTTTGGGGATAAGTATCCACCTATGAAACTGCTTATAGTTAACAAAACTGTATTGTATGCTTAAGATCTACCCTCTTAGAAAATTTGTAAGTATTCTTACCCAACCTTTTAAAACAGGGACAAATGAGTAGCTATTTTGGAGTTATTTATACTTTGGGAATGTTATGGGATATTTCCCTGCAGTTGGAGACTAATCACACAGATCATTCAGGTAACCGAACCCTGTAGGATAGTTCTGAGTCACAGAAAATTAGAGCTGGAAGAGATCTTGAGGTCCTCTAGGCAACTCCTTATGTTGGAGAAGAGAAATAGGTCATAGTATCATTCTCCATGCCAGAAGTATTAAAGCCACCATTCCTCAGGTCAGTTTTGAATGCCCTGCATTGTTTTTGTGAGTGCTCTACTCCACTCCAGGTTGAATACCATAATTCCTAACCAGTTGCTTGTGTTGAGTCTCTCCCGAGGCAGTTACCCACATACTCTTCTCCACTTCAAGTCAAGAAACTGTAGACTTTAGTAGTCATTCTTAAACTAAGTGTAATTTTTGACATATATGTTGTGATATAAGTTCTATGATGTTTATATCATCCAGTCTCCAGCTTTATCATTCATATTGCATTTAAGCTTATTCTTAGTATATTAAAGTATAAAAATAATGTTTGGTGAAGTTAAGAGGCTATTTCTCATTGGAATATTACCCTTGAAGATGTTTTAACAAAAGTCATTTACTAGGAGTTGACTTATACTGTGAATACTTGTTGCATTTTGTTGATGAAGCAGACTCTCCCTTGGTTGTTCAAATAGTGCAGTTTTCTCTGACACCACCTGTTTCAATAAGAATGTTTGTTCAAAATTATTTGAATTGGCAAACAGGTGCATTCACAGTAGCCCTGAGGAGACTATTGTTACAGCCTTATCCAGGCATTACCAAAAATAATTCCAAACTACAACAAAAAAGCAAAACACTACATATGTTCTATGACAAAATAGTTGGAATGCATAGAATTTATATTTTCTAAGTGCTGAGAGCACTGAGTATAAATCAAATTGTGAATTGTTTTTATTTTTTATTAAGATGGATGCCCCGTAACAACCTAAGTATTTACCTTATTCAAAAGCCTCAACCCTCGTAGTAACATGCTGCTTACTAAAAGCAGCTGAAACAATTTTTGGCAGTCTGGTTTCCTCCCAGAGCAAAATGAAATGAAAATTTAACTATGTTCAGGTGCATTTGATGCACAAGCCAATAATTAATGCCAAAAACTTACTTTAAGTCTTGAATTGTACAGTTGGATTATATAAAAGAAGTAACAGGATAATTGAAAAATCACTAATCCATTGTATGTTTTTATTCTGTATCTTCAACTAGTCAGACATTCAGTAAAAAGATTTAATAGTTTAGATTATTGTCATTGAAATGCATATTGCTGCTTACTCCTTTCAACTTTGAGAATTTAGAGATTCAGAAATTGAGATCTGAAAGGGTCCTCATTTTCTAAACAAAGAAAATTAATCACAGAGATAAGAGCTTACCCTAGAGGCCAGGACTCAGGTTTTTCATCAGTCAAAGCCCTTTCACTGTTAGGGCTGGTGAATTTCTATGAACCAGAGCTGAACAGCGCTGTGTTTATTTTTTTCAGCTGCCTAAAATGGCCCACAAAGCTAGTAAGAGGTTGTGTCTGTGAGCTGTTTGAGAAAGCTTAATAGCATTAAATGTGCAGTTAACAAAAATATGTATTTCTTTGCTTTAGGCTGGAATATTTCAACTAAGAGGAATAATAGAAGTCAGGCCCTGTAATTGACTACTGTTGGCTTTACAGAAAATTCTGGGGGTGAGTAGGGGCTAGACACTGACAGAGTGCTGTACCACATGGCCACACTTCCTAAATAAACATATCCAGGGGTTCATGCATGATAGCAGTATGATGTAACAAACAGACATCTAAAAATGACTTAAGGAGTGAATGGTGTTTAAGCCCCTAATGCTTGCTTATCTTGATTACCTTTGCACTGTAATCATGCTAACTGATTATGAACATTGGATGATTCTAGATCATTGGTTAAAGGTGGGATCAGTGTTGAAACTAGAAAAATAATAATATAGATCAAGCAAATCAGGTATTACTTAGTAAAGGCAATTCACATGTCATGCTTTTGGAAAACATTGAGATCTTAGAGGAAAAAGTAATAAAATGGCTCCTTGATAGTTAGAAGGTAGGGAGACCCTGACAAAAATAATGTCCAGCAGAGAAGAGGTAAAGTACTTTCACTCATAGATGTGAGTTCACAAACTTCAGGTCTAAATTCATAACTATGTTTAAGATGCATGTGGCTTAGAGTCTATAGGTTTCTAGTCAGTAATTGCTCTATTCATTATTTTTGTTTTTATTATCAAATTTAGTAAAAGTCAGATGTTGAAAAGAAGCCAACTGTTTTTTAGCTAGACATAATGAAAAGGGAATTAAAAAGATTAAAATGGTATCTAACAGCTTTTTGTATGATTCATATACCCATGTTCTTTATGGTTCAATGTGTATTGCCACTGTAATAACACTAAATTGTGCCTTATTAAACCTTTTTGTATCATAATCACTCCCACCATTTTATATAATTTTCCATGATAGAATCTAAGTTTGAGAAATGTATATATGTATAATGAAATGTATAATACTGTGAGACTGCAGATGGTGGGGAAGTAAACTTGAGTAAAATTGATCTGGAGGAGAGCATTGTGGGGAAATAGTATTGGTTGGAATAATAACACAGTGGGCTTTTTGCCTCCAACTCTCATCTGAATGTTGTACTACAGTAAAATGGCCACTTTTTTCTACCTTTGGAAGCAGTAGTTTTCTTTTCTTTTTTTTTTTTTTTTTATCTTATGACTACTGAGGTGATCCTTAAGCTCAGAGAAAGAGCCAGTTTTATTAAACTTGAGCTATAGATCTACAAAGGCTGAGAATCACTTTTCTTGTGCTAGGTGCCCTGTTCCTTAGTGTTATGTTGCCCTACCTTTGGGGCTTTTATGACACAATCGAGGCCTGATATATACTTAGCACTGTGCATGACATAAAGGAACTTAGCAAATGTCTGTTGTATACATGTAAGTCTTAGATTCAGTCCATGCCTCAAAGAATTAGGTCTAGGATGGAGGAAAGATAATATAAAGGCAACATTAAAGAAAGGGTCTTCTACTCTTTCTTTGAGACTAGTGTTCTTAAACATATTTTGAGACCTCCAGGGCTCACCTCATCTTTCTAAAGAAAGCCATAAATATAGTACTACCTGTTGGTGTAGAACTAATGACTTTGAAGTGACACTTTCTCAGTGCCCCTACCAAACCACAGAGACAAATAAGCATCACTGAATCTCACAGTATGCCTTGTTTTCTTGCTTGCAGGTTTCCAACAGATCTGGTGATAGTCTAAAATGCTATGCTCTTAGGGAGCTAAGATCATTTATCCCAGCAGTCTTCAACCTTTTTTGGCACCTGGGATTGTTTTCATGGAAGACAATTTTTCCACGCAATGGGGGATGATTTTAGGATTTTTCAAGCACATTTCATTTATTGTACACTTTATTATTATTACATTGTAATATATGATGAAATAATTAATTTATCCTTTGTGCTCCTTAGGCTTTGATTTATTATGGTGCAAATACGGAAACGATGAGTTATGTTGTTTGCTGCTGTTAATAATAGAGAATATTTTGCCCTGTGGGGAGTGAGTTGGAAACCACACATTAAAGTAAAACCTCAGACTGGACTTAAAATGGTGTCTCAGAGAAAAATGCTTGTTGCTTCCACTGATTCTTCTAA